TTAAATCAAAAGTAATGTGAATTAAAATAATAGCTCATGTGGAAACATGCTTGCTGATACAGCTGATCCAGTTGGGACATTACTGATGAGTCCCACCCATTCAAGTAACTATCTGATTGCACTTTATAAAAAAATCAAGAGTACACTCTTGATGACAACCATAATAATAAAATTGAAAGGCAAGTTATTAGTGAGAAGAAGCTTCAGCTAGTTTAGTTGCTATTAGTTTAAATGGTTCTATTCTTTTTAATACATTAATCAGTTCAGTTAGTAATTCAGGTTGTGTACTGATTGTAGACATTAGTGATATCATTAGACCTGTACTCTTCTCTTCTTCTGTCTTGCTACTTCCTTCAGTAGCATTCTTATAACAATCAAATGTGATGAGACCTTCACCAAACAATGCAGGAGCAACTGCCAGTCTATTAAAAGACACAGATAACAATTTTGATAAAGCTTCAAACTGTTTCCTAAAAGCTGTTACTGATAGTTGAGGATCAAATGATGATTGCTGGACCTGTTGATCTATTGAGTCTATTATTAAAATCAAGTAATAATACAAAATACAATACCTGTAGATACACTAGGACTAGCTTGTGCTCCAGTTTGTACTGCAGTAGTGGCTGATGCTATGATGAATACATACATAAAGTAATATCATGTACACACTCAATTAGTTACCTGATGAAGGAACAAGTGATGATATTTCATTCTTTGATACTTCAATTCTCCAGTGAGCAACTGATGGTGTTTCTATACCATCAATAGATAAAGCATGAGACAGCTTGTTAGTAGCATCAGTTTCATCAGGTTCTACTGATAATTGAATGTATGGTAACTGACCACTTTTACCAGAATTGTAATCAGCAACATGACCCTGGGTAATCTATAAGAGAGATTAAAAAAGAAAAGCAGAAAAAATTTAAAAAAGATTAAAATAATACAAAATGATTGAATTAATTTAAGAAAGAGTAGAATATACAATGTTCTTACAGCATCAGTATTACATAATGTGAATCTCCAACCATTTTTGTTCTCTGAAGGAATATCAGTTACTTTCAAGAGATGGTCTTTCCTTTTTGAAAAAGTAAAACGAAAACTAGTATCAAAGTCACCAAGAGCTTGAGCAGCAGGATGTACTTGTAGCAACTATACAAAATAGTATGAAATATGCAATGATTACAACCCAGTGTGTACATACCTCATTAGAAGAAGGTAAATCTTGCAGTACAGCTAGACTCATCACTACTTTATGAAATAAGCACTTCTTATAAAATAATGCTTGGCAATAGAAAGTAGGAGCTACATGTACATAAATATGTAATAATAATGATGATGATAATGAATATAGTATCTACGGTTAGTGGTTGACTAACCATAAGTAAAAGCAGTCAGTGCTAGACCAGTTGCTGCTCCAACAGCAGCTATGGCAGTAAGAGGTACAGCAGCTACACCAGCAGCAATTCCAGCAACAATACCAGCAGCACCACCGAGTGTGGCTCCACCCATCACAATAGCAACCAGTGAGAAACTCTTCAATTCTATAGTGCCAGTCTGAGACTCAGGTGAGAATGATCCTCCTGGTAAAAACTCAAACTTAAAAGGGCCGCACTGTTTACCAGGTTGAACCTTAGCTACTACAAAGCTCAAATACTCACTCTGAGATTCAGAGCTCAAATGAGCACAATGTACTAGCTGTACAATCACTGGTTTATCCAGTTCAGGAACAGTAGGAGACACAGATATGTAACACACACTACTGATCAGATGTGTGCCTCCAGGGAACTCAAAATCTCCTCCCCATAGACCTTGAGCAGCAGCTTCATAGACAGTGCTATGTACTGGAGAGAAGAGTCCATCAG